TTGTTACAGAGTCTCGCTCTGTTGCCCAGGCTGGAGTGGGGTGGTGTGATCTCGGCTCGCTGCAACCTCTGCTTCCTGGGTTCCAGCAATTCTCCTGCCTCAGCCTCTTGGGTAGCTGAGACTACAGGTGTGCACCACCATGCCTGGCTAATTTTGTGTTTTTAGTAGACATGGGGTTTCACCATGTTGGCCAGGTTGGTCTTGAACTCCTGACCTCAGGTGATCTGCCTGCGTCGGCCTCCCAAAGTGCTGGGATTACAGGTGTGAGCCACCGTGCCCAGCCCTAATTTACTTTTAGTTCCTTTCCTCCAAGGCCAGCTTCTACCTCTTCACCTCACAATGACACCATTCCCCTGACCAGACAAGCAAGTGCCTGCTTTCCCTTGGCTTCTTACAACTGGCTCTCTGGGCCATCTACAAAAAATTTAAAAAAATCAGTAGAGCGTGGTGGCACTATTGTCCTAGCTACTTGGGAGGCTGAGTTGGGAGGACTGATTGAGCCGAGGAGGTCGAGTGCAGTGAGCCATGATTGTGCTACTGCACTCCAGCCCGGGCGACAGCAAGATCCTCCATCAAAAAAAACAAAAAAGCAGTTTGCAGAGGTGACTGAATGTTCTGGAACCCCTGTGTTATTGGAAATAGATATCTGTTTCTCCATCCTCCAACTTACACTGCAGCCTCAACTGTGTCTCAGCATACCCCTCTCCCTCTAGTCTGCACGCTATCTCTTCCAGAGGCTGGAAGGTTGTTCAGAGCTGTAGCCTTGGACTTCAGCAGTCATGTGTTGCAGGTTTGCCGTAGCTGACTACTCACTCTCTCTCTCTCTTTTTTTTTTGAGACAAAGTTTTGCTCTTCTTACCCAGGCTGGAGTGCAATGGCACGATCTTAGCCCACCACAACCTCCACCTCCCAGGTTTAAGCAGTTCTCCTGCCTCAGCCTCCTGAGTAGCTGGAATTACAGGTACGCACCAGCATGCCCAGCTAATTTTTTGTATTTTTAGTAGAGATAGGGTTTCTCCATGTTGATCAGGCTGGTCTCAAACTCCGGACCTCAGGTTTTCCACTCTCCTTGGCCTCCTTAAGTGCTGGGATTACAGGCATGAGCCTCTGTGCCCAGCCGCTGAGCACTCTAGCGTCTAGATCAGTGACTGTCAAATAGGATTTCTTCTGCGCTGCCTTACAGCTTCCTTCTTCCAGTGCAGGTGTCAAGGTCCTTAACCTGCCCAGACTTTGGGTCAAGTTACTGCAAGTTCTGGGAAGACTCAGATTCTTAACTTCATGACCTCAGCTCAAGGGATGCTCCATTTTATGCCCCCCACCCCGTCCTGTGACCAATGTCATGTGATCCCAGGGCTGCAAGGTTTCAGGGGAGAGAATCCAGCCGTGGCCCTGTGTCCTGGGGCCCAGCAGCTGGGACAGTGGCGGCGCAGGCTGAGCCTCCGCACAGCCTGCCGGGGTTTGGGCTTCTTCCCCATCACGCCCTCCTAGTTGCCCTAGTGACTGTGTGACCCCTCTCCCCCTGCACCGCCTGCTGCTGCCAGGGCCAGCTGTATAAATAGAGGCGAGGAGCAGCTGGGCTCTCTTGGCAGTCACCATGAGGGCGCTGGTCCTGCTCGGCTGCCTCCTGGCCTCGCTCCTGCTCCCAGGACAAGCAGGTAGGGCCCTCCCAGCATGACCCAGCCCAGATTGCACCCTCATGCTTCTTCTGTGGTTTTCTGTCTACCGTGGGTAGGGTAGGGAGTCAGGACTGACGGCAAACCCCAGCTCCTGGCTGGTGTCACTGTTCTCACCCTTCTCTTTTCCCTGGTCCTGGGGCCTCGGAGAAAGAGCTGGGTGCTGGAGAGGAGGAGTGCCGTTGTGGGGCTCTTGGGGAGTCCAGAGGAAGCGGGAACAGCAAACAGCTGAGGCCTGAGCCGGGGTCAGAGAGGAGTCCGGCCAGTAGATGTGGGAAAGAGGGGCCCCTAAAGTCAAGACTGAGGAGCCTCTGAGATGGACAAAATAGCACAGTCTGGGAGCTGGAGGTCGTTGAGGTGACTCTCCCACCTGGTCGGAGATAAGGCGGAGGCCCCACTCCTTCAAGAGACCTGGGTTTGCGTGATCGAGGATAGATGGGGGACACAGTGGGCAAAGGTGGGGACCGTTTTGGGAGCAGTGAGATAGAGTTGGTTTGGGATAAGATCGGAAATAGTGTTGGCGGTAGGGCTGGAAACAGAATTGGATGCAATTCAGAAGAGGAACGGGCCTGTTCTGGAGTAGAGCCTCTGCTGCTGGTGGGGGCTTCCATCAGAAAAGGGGCTCAGCTCTACATGCCTGGGCTTCCCTTTGACATCTCAGCACTTTGGGTAGCAGAGGTAGTGGCTTGGGTTGCAGCATGGGGGTTATCTATAGGCTGTGGAGGGGATGCCAGATCGTTTTTGCCACCTCTTTTGTTCCTAAGGTTCCTGAGGCCTGGTTTCCCTCAGGAATGCTTGTAGGGAGGTGCTCTGGAGATCCCCCTAGGATCTGGACTCCCCACCATGTCTTTTCATGACTCGGCAGTCTTCCCCCAGCCGGGCTTTGAGCCTAGGTTTGTTCCTGGGACTGTGGAGGCCTGGAATCCAGCCTCTCAGGTCTTTGAGGTTGGATAGGGGATTGCAAGGGCACAGTCCCAGCAAGGAGAGCAGGCGGTGGGTGGGAACAAAAGCTATTCCTCAGGGACTGGAGATGTAAGGTGGGGGGCTCCAGCCACTGCATTTGCTGCTGGGCCCTGCCCTTGTCTGTCCTTGAGTTAATTTGGGCTCTGCGGGGCTGCAGCAGCTCGAGTGCTGAGTATTCCAGGCGGCTGTCAGGCAGCTAAGTATGGAAACAACCGCGTAATTGGATCCCGAGCCCCAAGCCTCTGCCACCCTTTCCCTTTGTGGCCTCTCCTCTGCTGCAGCCCAGCCCCAGCTGCCCGGCTTCTGCACACTGGGCCCCAAGAATTTTTGGCCTTTTAGGGACATCCTTTGTCTTTCCTCCCACTGAAGGAACTGGCTATGTGGAATGTTCTGCAGGCCTTGCTGGGGCCTTTTGCCATGGAGAAAGGAGGCAGGCAGGTGCTTGTGCAAAGGTCCCTACTCTGCTGTCTTTCCTTCCTGGGTCCCACCGTGTGCGTCTGCCCCTGGCCCAACCTCCAGTGTAGAAGCTTCCCTCTGTCCCTGCTCAGCGCTTAGGCTGTGGGTTTCATCCACTGTGGGGATTTTATCAGACTGTGCCCCACTGTGCACTGTATACTCCAGAAGAGGCTTCCTCCCGCATCCACCAGCAGGTTCTCACCCACACGGTAGCTTCCTCACGCCCCCATCATGACAGTCCTTCCTAGTGGGTGATTCCCCCCGAGAATTGTGCCACTCTTGTAAATACCACTCCACCCAAAAGTCACATCTTGGCTCCTGACCTCCTTCCCTCACCTGTCCGCTGTGTGCTAACTTCCCTCCCCATTTTACTTGCTCCTCAGCTAGGTGGCGGCGGATATTCCCCCTCACCACCCTCACCTGCTTCCTAGGACGGAGACCCCACAGAGCTTCTCCTCTGTGCCTTCCCCCTTGTTGCTCTTATGCTGCTCTGGACTGGGGTGATGGGCCTGCAGCCCTTCTTGGTTCCCTGTGAGGAGACAAGCGCTCCCCTCTCACCGACCACTGGTCACCTGTGTCCATGCCAGGACGGGGAAGGAGCAGCCAGGTGGGGGCCTTCCTGGTCTCCACCTCTCCACCTGCTGCCCACAGGCCTTTGTACCCACCGGGACCTCCTCTTTGGGAGTCCTGGCTTGGGGTTACTCCTCCTTAAGAGCAGTGGGAAAGGCCCCTAGCAGTGGTTCAATCAGTCTGCCCACCATCCAGGGAAGGGAAGGAAGCCTAGAGAAATGGGGAGACTTTTCCAAGGTTAGACAGTGAGTCAGTGACAGGCATATCCACGGCCAGGGTCCTCTCCTTTCCTCAACCTGCCTATACTCCCGAGCTCCTCTCTGCCTGTAGGGTGAGTGTGAAAGAGGGTGAAGGAGTGCAGTGGATAAGGCCGTCCTGGGGGAGCTTCCCTAGTTTTCAGGGCAAAGGCTTTTGGTCTCCCTGGAGAGTGGGAGGCTGCTGACAAAGCATTTCATTGGGTTTAAGCCATTGGTGTTTATTGCTAAAGGCAGAATTCAAGACCTTTTTGCTTCCTATTGTCCCTCCTGTTGCTTGATATGGAGATTGGGGATCTGGGGTTTCCTGTCCATCCTTCATTCTTCCTTCCTGTCCAGCCCAGCCCTAGTTTCAGATGCCCATCTCCCCTGGCCCCACCTAGCCACCCCAATGGGGAGGGGCTGGTGCATGCTGGGGCTGCTCCTCTGTGAGCACCCACGGCTCAGTGCCCACCATGTGAGACAAGGGTGCAGAGTCATGGTCAGGAAGCCCCTTCCCTGCCCCTTTCTCTCCCACCCCAGGCTGGTTATTTCTAGAAAGAGGCCAGTGCTCCAGTTTCCTCAACAGAGAAGCCCAGCTGCTAGGATCCACTGTGGGAGGGCTGCTGAGAAAATGTAGCAGTCTCAGGGGTCTTGGGGAGAGAATAGAGCCCAGAAGCCTTTTCAGTCCCTGGAGCCGTGTCCCCACAACTGGTTCCTTCACTCCTCATTTGGTGTGGCCAGGTGAGCCCATAGGGGACATCTGGTCCCACAGTGAGTCTGGAGCACACTAGACTGGGCTGTGCTAATGAACAAATCTCTCAAAAAAGTGACACTTTGGCCAGACACAGTGGTTCACACCTGTAATCCCAGCACTTTGGGAAGCCAAGGTGGAAGGATCGCCTGAAGCTAAGAGTTTGAGACCAGTCTGCACAACATAGTGAGACCCTCTCTTTTTTTTTTTTTGAGACAGAGTCTTGCTCTGTCGCCAGGCACCAGGCTGGAGTGCAGAGGCGCTATCTCGGCTCACCACAACCTCCGCCTCCCGGGCAAAAGCCTCAGCCTCCTGAGTAGCTGGGACTACAGGCGCCTGCCACCACGCCCAGCTAATTTTTGTATTTTAGTAGAGATGGGGTTTCACTATGTTGGCCAGGATGGTCTCGATTGAGACTGTGTCTTTAAAAAAAACCCAAAAAACAAAAAATGAGCTGAGTGTAGGGGTGCATGCCTGTGGTCCCAGCTACTTGAGAGGCTGAGGTGGGAGGATCACATGAACCCGGGAGGTCAAGACTGCAGTGAGTCGTGATTGCACCATTGCACTCCAGCCTTGGTGACAGAATGAGACCTTGTCTCAAAAAAAAAAAAAAAAAAAGGTCACCTGGTGTGGTGGCCTATAGAACTGCTGTTTAGGTACTGCTGGTTTTGTCCCACATCCGGGTATTACAGTAAAGATCAAACAGTAAGTTCATGGCAGGCCAGAGCTGGAATTCAGGCCTCTCCACTCCTTGGCCAGTGCTTCTACCCACTTATCCCCCAGATGGAGGTCCAGATGAGGCTGGTAGCATCCAGCTGGCCCTCTGGTGCCTACTTGGGTGTAGTGGGCTGGGGAGAGTCAGCCTATGGACACAGGAAGAGGACAGCTGCTTCCGCTCTCTGTCCTGGCCTCCAGGGCTAAGGACAGGGCTAGGCCTTGTGCTTCCTGACTGGAACGAGGCGGGCGGCCGGGGGAGTGGGGTGCTGGGAGGGCCATGGTTGTGGGATAGAGTGCCCGGGCTTAGCTCTTTCTCTGGGCATATGCCCTGCTTCCAACCCAAATCCATGCCTCATCACAGCACAACTCCTTACCTGTAAATATTGCTCATGTGTGCAAAGCCCTCTTGTTCAGACAACTCACTGCGTTCCATCATTTTTGAACCTATCCCGAGTTTACTGCGTCCCTGCTATTTTTTAGGTATGATACTAACAGAATTGAGAAAGGCATTTTGTCCTCAGCGCTTACAGTTCAGCAGGGGAGAGGAGGCCTCCTCTGCCTTGCATGTAGCTGAATCTGGTCAAATGGGACATGCCACAGTGTCATTGGAGAGGCACAGGAAAAGGTGGAGACAGGGTAGAGATTATCTGGAGCTGAGTGGATCAGGAAAGGTTTTACAGATGAGGGAATATTTGAGCTAGGCCTTAAAGCAGGATTCAGAGCAGAAGGATGGCAGGAAGGGAATTCTGAGTTGAGGGAACAGGATGAGGAAACTTAAGGAGCCAGAGCAATGGGGCTGTGGTGAGACCCAGGAAAGGAGAGCATTGTTCTGTCTTGTATGAAGGCAGACAGATGAAGTGGGGGTGGTGGGACGTGTTTGGAAGGCAAGGTTAGGGCTGAAAGTGTGAAGGACCTTGTTAGGTGGAGCAGGGCTTTGCTCAGTGGGCAGTGGGTCACCACCGAGGGCTCAGGGAAGATCCATCTGGCAGTTGTTGGTAGGAAGAGTAGGGTGAGGGGAGACTGATTAGTGAGCCATGCCAGAGAGGCAGGTGAGGGAGTGTGAACATGGGCGAGGGGACAGGAGTGGAGAGAAGGGGTAGACCCAGTTGGTAGCTGGTGTAGAATCTCTGGACTTCCCAGCCTGGGAGCCAGGCCAGGGCAGGGAACCCTTACAGGTTTGGTTGAGGTCAATGGGACAATGATCTTGCTAGAAAAGTAGACTGGGGGCCGGGCGCGGTGGCTCACGCCTGTAATCCCAGCACTGGGAGGCCGAGGCGGGCGGATCCCTT